TGTCATTACCATTCTGTCTTGATAATTACAGTTTTGGAGTATATTTTGAAGTAATGTGATTCCTCCAGCTTTTACACTTTTGCTCAGGATATTTTAGATTTCTAGGGTCTTTTGCAGTTTCCCACAAATTTTAGGATTTTTTTCTATTTCTGTAAAAAATGTATTGGAATTATGAAAGAGATTAAATTGAATCTGTAGATCACTTTAGGTAGTATGGACATTTTAACAATACTATGTCCTCCCATCCATGAACATGGCCCGTCTATCCATTCATTTGTGTCATCTTTAATTTTTATCAATATTTTAGAATTTTTAGTGTATAAAAATTAAATTATCCTTAAATTCATCTCCAAGTATTTTATTATTTTGTCACTGTTATAAATGGAATTGTTGTCTTGATTTATTTTTCACATAGTCTATTATTAAGGTACAGAAGCAATGCTGAATTTTGTATACTGACTTTGTATCCTGCAATGTTACTTACTTTATTTATTAGTTCTAATATTTTGGTGAACAACTTCTACATATCAGATTATTCCCTCTACAAACATAAACAATTTAACTTCTTTTCCTATTTAGATGGCCTTTATTTCTTATTCTTGTAGAAGAAATTTTATTTCTTTACTAGTGTTAGTGGGGCTTACCTATTTTATTTATTTATTTATTCTACAAAGCAACTACATTTGCTTCCAGATTAGATATAGAATGTGTGCTAACCATGATGGCGTTTCGGAGCCTCTGGAGTCAAAATTGTTAGCACAGATTCTTTGTTATCACAGATTCTGTATACATTCTCTCTGTAAAGTCTTGACTTTCATTTCATTTAATTTTCATATATTTCAAATTACTCTCTAATTTTCTTTTAATTAGCAAAACATTCTGTAAAGGATTAAATTCTAAATATTTTCAGATTTACTTTTCATATAGATATATTGCACTGTTAACCTCTGCTGCTATAGCACAGAAGTGGCCATAAACTATAAGAAAAATGAGTATGTCTATATTCTAATAAGACTTAATTTATAAAAAATAGTCAGCAGCTGGATTTGATCAACTGGCCTCGACTCTGATGTAGAACATCCCTCATACAGTTACTTCACTGGTGAGAGGAATATGAGACACTTATCCACCAAATGACCATCATAATTACCTGAGGGCTGCTCAATCGCTTTTGAGCACACTGAGGTCTCTCTGCTAATGGCTTAGCATAATACTGAGCTCATAGTCTGTGAATGTAGAAACCCACAGAGTACAGACTAAACTCCTTCAGAATATATTGTTTTACTTCACATTTCATTAAAAACAATCAGTATTTATTATTAGGTAGATGACATCACATTAGAATGCAACTTGAGCACAGTACTACTTATCAAAAAACTAAGATAGAGTTCTGAAATAGCATCAACTATACAAAATTTCCCTAAAAATAAAAGCCCAAGACCAGATGGCTTCTTGTAAGAATTCTACCAAACTTTTAAAGAGGAACTAGTACCCATACTACTCAACCTTTTCCAAAATATAGAAAAAGACGGAATACTACCCAACACATTCTATGAAGCAAACAT